TGTGATTGCCCAGTCCAACAGCTGTAGTTTTCTGTGTGATTATTCTGTAGCATGGATGCATCAACTGCATATGTAAGTTGAAAGATAAACTGGAGCTCTGAGGTGGTGACTCATATCAGATACCACACTTGATGAAGTTGCAAAATAAAGACTAAATGTATGTAAAGGTGCAGCTCTCACAAGGACATTGGTTTTCCACTTCCACCAAGGAAAAAATATTAGCCTCTGGGGTTATATAATAAATTTGCAATGTACTCAGTGTTTTGGTGGGAGCTGGAATGGACCCATCTGTCCATAGGAGATGCAAGCTGATCTTGAGATCAGTTAATACCATAGCGGGTCTGATAATTCTGTAATTGTAGCTCTGCCTTGGCTGGGGTATGAAGTTGAACTGTGGAAGTTGGCTTAGATTCTTAAAAAAAAATACCCATCAATCTCTTTATAATGCTTATGCGTTCTATTGCTTGCTTACTTTTAGAAAATTGACCAGCTAACATTATGAACATTGTGCACTGGCATGCTGGGCTCCTCACCCCTTCCTTTGTGTGGATCACCATAGCCTTTTCAGAGGGAAAGAGGAGGGAATTGAATAGTTGAGTTCCAGTTTTGTCCACCTTGTTTTGCTTAACCCTGACTGACCTTGGCCTAAGGGCACCATGACCTCTGTCAGTCAGGTTGATGAGCTTAAATCAAGATGCAGGATTTTGTGTTGTGATAAATAAGCAGGAATGGGCTTGTCATTTTACATCTGAGCTGTGTCTTCTCAATTGCCTATTTTCTTGCATCTCTGACTGGGGGAATTTTCTAGTGCAATATTTACATTGTAGGAGTTTGTTTTCCTTTGATTAGCTTTCTGTAACACTTGGTTATTTTAAAATAGGCAGAGCTGGAAAATGCTGCCACCATTAAAAATGCAGCCAGAATAATTCCATAAACAAGGCAATGGTTTCGTTTACTAAACCAGGTTAAGAAAGTCTTCACTAAAAAGACTGTCTTTCCTGACTACAGAACTTTCTGCTTAACAAACTGGATGAAGCCAGGCACTGGGGAATGGGATGGTGAGAAGACACTTGTGTAACTACAGCTGTTTTATGTTCCCAAGAGCTGAGTTAGGTACACCCAGCATTCTCATGTGAGTGCCGTGCTGATTGTCCTACATGTGATACTGAAAGCTGCCACAGATTCCTTATGATCCTGTTTGAAGAATGTTGACCTACATTTTCTTGTTTAAATGAATGTTTTGCAGGCTGTATTAATATCTTTGTAAATACTTTACAAACATGTTTTTTTTTCTCTGAATAGTACTGTTATTCATAATGTTTTGTTTTTTAAATACACTTTGCTTTGTCTTTGCTCTGTTTCGTACCTTGGTCTGACCCTTCAGCAAGGTCTCTTCCATTAAAGTCAGCAAAATCAGCAATTTAATCAGTTGCTAATTTAGCAACTTTATTTGAAGAGCCGGTTCATTATGTTCTGTTGTTTAATTGATGTTTGCATTGATTGAATTAGGGAATAAAAATAAACAGTTAATTTCCATTTCAGTGAGATATTTCAGCAAACTTCTGCAAACCAGGAGGGGTTAAAATACTGACAATGGAAAAAATTCAAACAAAACAACCCAAGGAGAGCAGTATCTTTTTCAAATATAGAATCATTTAGATTGGAAAAAACCTTTAAGATCATAGAGTCCAACTGTAAACCCAGCACTGCCAAGTCCAGCATTAACCTTGTCCCCAAGTGCCACATCTATACATCTTTTAAACACTTTGGGGTGATGACTCAAACACTTCCTTGGGCAGCCTGGTCCAATGCTTGACAACCTTTTTGGTGAAAAAAATTTTCCTAATACTCAATCTAAACCTTCCCTGGTGCAACTTGAAGCCGTGTTCTCTTGTTACTTGGGAGAAGAGACTAACACCTTGCTACAAACCTCCTTTTTAGGGAGTTGTAGGGTGATAGGGTCTCCTGAGCCTCCTTTTCTCCAGGCTGAACAACCTCAATTCCCTCAGCTGCTCCTCGTAAGACTTGGGTTCCAAAGGCTTCACCAGCTTTGTTGCTCTTCTTTGGACATACTCCAGCACCTCAATATATCTCTTGCAGTGAGAGGTCCAGAACTGCACACAGGGTTTGAGGTGCAGCCTCACCAGTGCTGGATACAGGAGCATCATCACTCCGCTGACCCTGCTGGCAACACTGTTTCTGATACAGGCCAGAATGCTATTGGCCTTCTTGGCCACCTGGATATGCTGCTACCTGATATTCAGCCAGCTGTTGACCATCACCCCCAGGGCCCCCTTTTCTGACAAGCAGGTTTCCAGCTACTGTTGCCCAGGTGTGTAGCATTGGATGGGGTTGTTGTGACCCAAGTGCAGGACCTCAGAATATTGATGCAGCCTGCCCAAATCCCCGGTAGAGCCTTTCAGTCCTTAAACAGATCAACACGCCTGTGCAGCTTTGTGTCATCTGCAGATTTGCTGAGAATGTACTTGATCTCCTCATCCAGATCCTTGATGATGATACTGAACAGAACTGGCCTCAGTACAGAGCCCTGGGGAATGCCACTTGTGGCTAGCTGACAACTGAATTTAACTCCATTCACCATCACTCTTTGGACTTGGCCATCCAGCCAGTTTGTTACCCAGCAAAGAGCACACTTGCCCATACCATGAGCAGCCAGTTTCTTCAGGAGAATTCTGTGTGTGGGAAATGGTGTCAAAAGCTTTACTAAAGTTTAGGTAGACAACATCTACAGCCTTTCCCTCATTCTCCAAGCGGGTCACCTTTATCACAGGAGATCAGGTTAATCAAGCAGGATCTGCCTTTCATAAGCACAGGCTGAATGGGCCTGATCACCTGTTTGTCCTGTACATGTGTACATGATGGTACTCAACATGATGAGCTGATTGCTGTTAATGACATTAGACTAAACCCAGTAGGTAAGGGGTTTTTGGCAGTATTCTTGCGTTTTAGGGAAAGACGTATAAAATTATTGCAAAAATCGCAAGGTTTGCTCTAGAATTTGAGAGTGACTGTCAAAAAAATTTGTAGTAACTCTTCCAGAAGAGTTAAGGGAATTGGAGCTGCAAGGGAGGCAATGTTACTTTATTTCCCAGGGAGGGATGAAAGGTTGAAATCACAATAGCTACAGCCTGTGTAGTTCGTCCAGAAAAGAGCAGGACAGCCTGGAGGGTATACTTAAGGTTGATAGGGGATAGCTTGTTAATTATGTGGCTTTGTTGCAGTTAGATATTGATATAAAACTCCATCTCTGACCCTACAGTGAAGCTTGTATGAAGGATGGGGCAAGGGGTGTGTGTGTAAATAAGGAAGTGGTGTCTTGTTGCACTCAAGTAATTGTAACAGATAGTTCACTGTTAGCTTCACCTCAAAGAAATGTCCATGTGAGTGGCAGTAGTGTATGTCTTAATCAGTAGTTTGTGTCTCTGTTTCTGATAACAAAATGCAGTCCGCTCTAGCAGTTTATTGGTCTTTAATGCAAGGTATGATGTTAAGATGTTACTAGCATAAAGCATATTGCTGTAAATCATCTGGACTGTAACTGTTTTGAGTTTTATTGCCTTAGGGCTGTTTAACACAGGTTTAAAATAAGAGCAACTCTAAATATTCAAAAAATCAACACAGAATTTTTAAAAAAGAAAATAAAACCCCAACAAAACCCAAAACAAACAGAAGGAGGGAAAAAAAACAAACCATAAATCCAAAGGTTCTGCTCAGCAGAAAAATGCAGCAGTATGTTTGGATATGGCTTGTGTTTGCTGGACAGCTGTTTCATACCTTCACTATAAAAAATATAGATATGCAAGTAGGTATTCACACATTGCTTGTATTGAACCTTCTTACCATGGTAGGGGAAGAAGTGAAAATAACAGAAGGGTATAGCTCCTGAGTAAATTTCCACATTAGCTTGTGGGCAGAATAGCTATTTTGGACTTCCACTAGATTAAGCAATAACAGTTTATTCATAACTACTTAGTAGGGCAGCTCAGTGTGTTAGATGTGAGCAATGCAGAAGTTTCTTTTCCTTAAGTGTTTCTTGCCAGATACCTCAGCTTCTGATATATCTGTGGTTTTCTTTTAGTAGACTGTGCAATAAAGTGTTTTAAAAAAGGAACACTATTTCTCCATGATTAGTAAGTTCCATAGATTGAATCCTAACTTGTCTTCCTTGCTTTGTGATGTGTGAAAATAGCGTTTTTCTGTCACTTGAGCAATGAAGTCCTGGAGACATTCAAGGCCAGGCTGGATGTGGTTCTGAGCAACCTAAGCAAACTGAAGATGTCCCTGCTCATTGCAGTGAGGTTGGATTAGATGACCTTTGAACGTCCCTTCCAACCAAACTATTCTATGAAGTCTGTCCTCATTTAGGAGCTGGAGACTGTACAGGACATGATGGCATAAGCAGATAGCTTCAGTACAGCTTTAGATGACCAAAACCAGACTTTAAGAATATCCAGTGGTCCTAAAAAAGCTGGTAGCTATTTTAGGTAGCTGATACCCTGTTCTGCTTCATTGGCATCAGCCTCTTTACCTCCTGCAAAGTGCTGATGCTTATTTAATTGTGTAATTATGGATACTGATAGCGTGTGGCGCAAGAAAGAGGAGAAGCACAGGTACCTACCTGTAAAGGCCAACTTCTGAACCAAGAGGCTGGTTTCTTTTTGCTGCAAATGGGCAGAAAGGAGCTCTTACTCTGATAGGCTTCTGGAAGAGCTCGTCTTCTTCCTGTGCCTTCGGAGGGAACCTAGAGTGAGACCCTCTCAATGCTTCTGTGCAGAGTATGTACGTGTCATAGGTGCAAAACAGCGTTCAGCTCCTGTCACTGTGACTTTGTGTGAGAAATCAAACCTCTGGCAAATTTGTGGTGGTGATGAATGCTTGTAATAATGATGATTTCCTTTCACGGTTTTCAAGATGCTTTATAAAAGCTCATGTTAATAGCATAATTTGGATTTTAATGTCTTGTTTTTCTTATATTTCAGATCTACCAGTCATGAAACGAATTCTTCTGTTTTTTATCCTGGCTGCTGCTGTTATGTATGGTATACTGCATGGAAATCTGTGGAGAAATAACCTCTACTGGTATGGTGATGCTTTGTTCAATGACAGTGCAAACACCCTCATGGCTGTAAGATGTGGCTGGGAGTTGGTGTGTTGCTGAAGAGCTGTTTAATAGTGATCAGCAGAAGTGAATACTACTCTGTGTTTTGTTTTGTGGTTGTTTTGTTTTGTACTGTGATTTATTCCGTCCTGTCGTCCTTCTCTCATGTCACTTTTAAACCCAGCGGTTGATTTGAGCCTGACTGTGTGGAGAGGTGAGGACCTCAGAGATAGGGATAGCCCCTCTGAGTTTCAGGAAAATAGGAGTTTAGGTGAGAAGAGAGTCCTATTTGTGTGTCATCTCCATAACTCCTCCCACCCCACACATGCTTAGTGTTAGCTTGTTTATTGAGGTGTCTGATAAATGTCATGGGAAAGGCTTGCTCCTCACATGGGAATAACTGCAGTTGTAGTGGGTACCTTTTGAAAAGCTGAAGTTTGTCGAGCCCCAGTGACATCCTTGTGGGAAGTGAACCTTCATTGTCTCCAGGCTCCTTGGGACAGGTGTCTTGGGACCTAAAATTCAGCATAGTTACTGAAGAAGTTGAGTGTCCATTGCCTTTTGCATAGCTGTGACCAGGACTGAGCAGTGTGTTTGTGTTATGAAGATAATAGTGATAGCTTTTAAAAGTAGTGATTTATGTGACTCTATTTGTCTTGCTTATAGCATACAATTGATAGAGTGGCTTTCTGGTGTGGTTTCTGTTTATAGCAAACCAGAGTGTTGTGACATTTCCCTTTTTGCAGGATTAGCTTTTATGGACAGACTTCCTCTGTGAGGGCTTCTCCTTCCTATGAGACTAGTGGAGTTACTCAGTAAGTTCAGCAATTGAGTATTTTTGTGGCGGGATTTTTTGTTGGTTTTTTTTTTTTTTTTTTTTGGTTGCTTGGTTTTTTGGGCAGGTGGGAGGCATTGAGACTAAAATCAGTAGCCTTTGTCTGTAGGCTCACCATTGTTATTGTACTGGTTATTGTCTGTTGGCTGTTTTTGTTATGAACACAATTGTAACATGTCTGACAAAGGGAGTTTGTCCATGTCATGTTTCCAGTGTTCGGTTAATATTTATGGCCATTTACAGTGACTGTCTATAACAAGCAGTGAATTGATGGAAGGACATTTGTTTACAACTTCCAAATTTCTGCAATTCTGAGTTACACCTGAATAAAATGAGCAGAGCTACGAGGGCAGCTATTGTGCTTAAAATTTAATAAATCAGAGGTGTGGTTAATGTGTGATGCGCAAGTGCATGTATAAGCATATCTTATGCTAGTAAATTCCTGTAGTTAGGTTTCTGGGACTAATAAGTGCCTATGCTAAAATTTAAAAGCGGGCCTCTTCTATGTGAAGCCGTCCTGCAAAATGCCATCTGTGAGGTTTATGCTGGAAAGCAACGAGCTGCCCAGCTGATACGTTTCACAGGGTGCGTTTTTAGTGTCAGTATTCACATGACAACTTGGGGTTACTAAAAGCAATTAACCTTAATGGTCTGTTTGGCTTGTGGTTCTAGTGTGGTGGTTTCATCCTTCTGTTTTTAATGAAGCCCAGATGCACGCATTGCTCACGCTGAACTTTGTCCTCTCTTCTGGGCTTCGTATTTGTTATTAATTGGGCTAAATCACCAAGGTGGGAATGTTCTTAGAAATGTCTTAGCCTTATGAGAGGAATGACTTAAGCCCAAAGAATCTCACTTTCCTTGAAGTACCCTATGTGGTACTCTCTCAGTTCCCCACTCTAAATGAGACTCTTCTCTGAGGAGCACTGGTGATGCTATCTGGTATGGCTGCAGGATTGATTCAGCCCAGGTGTCCTGCTTCTCTGCAGGTGGGTCTGAAATCTCACCTGGTTATGAATGCTTTGATAGTTACTGAGAAGGGAGGTTGCAGACCCTTTGGAACAGTGCCACGAGGTACAAGCCTTTGCTAGTAATTGTATGCTGCAATGATAAAAATCCATCTTTAGGATACAAAGGCAATCATGAAAATTTAATGTTGTGTTAACTCAGTAATCAGCTTTTACTGATTTGGCTTGTCCAAGTTTCCCTACCTTGTTGCTGCTACTGATTCCTGTTACTGCTATTTCTTTGAAATTCTTCTTTTGCAGGCTGCCACCTACGGCTGTGGAGAGAAGGAACGCGCTGGACACTTGTCTCCTGAAACCAGCATTTGAATCTTTACTGGGGTGAGTATTATGTGGGAAGTAGAGGGAAAAAGAAAGTCTGTGCTGATTGAGGTAGAAATGAGCTATGTACGTATTCTGGCCTATTTCACATTTTGATTTACCTTGAAAAGTACAGCTTTTTCATTGTTACTCTTCCTGGTTGTGGCAACACAAATTGTTTAGCTTGCCACTGATCAGCATCTGAGCAATACCACACAACTAGATCAAAATGCTGGTGTTTGTAGTGAGTAAATAAATACTTCCTGTTCAGATATTCTAGCTAGTAACAGTGAAGCTATTTTAATGATTGAAATACAAGCCGTAGGTTCCCTCAGGTCCATGTTTTTGATGTAAAAAGGTCTTCATATCCAAGACTGAAACTCAGTCATTCTGTTATTAAAAATCTGCACTTTAAAGCGTTTTTGATAGTTAAGTATTTCTGTAGCAGCGAGGAATCAGAGAGGTTTTGAAAATTTCTTCTATTTATTTGGAAAATGGAGAATGAAATGTGCGAAAATTCATCTAATCTTTAATGATACAAGATTCTTCCCCTTCAGTGGAGTTTTAATGAAATTTGAGTTTATTCATGCTTTTGTTCCTTTAATAGTATTGTTGAATTGTGTGTAGGTGTTCTCCGTTTTAGTACACTCGTAGAAAGCTTCCTTTGTAAAGAAGTCATCATATGAAAAAAGGAAGAGCTTTAACCCAAAACGAAGGAGGTGTTTGGTCACAAAAGTGCATCCAAGAGGTTTGTGAGGAAATAATAGGAGGTTTTGTTATTAGAAGCACAAGTCTTAAATGAGAGGTCAAGAAAGTACCACGGGACCAGAAGCAGACAGGCTATATTGTTGGCTTTGTGTTTTGCCTGAGCAGACATTGAGTGTCATCCTGGGGAAGCTTGGGAAGATATTTAGACCCAAGTCCTGGCTGAGAGAGTCTTAAAGCTCTAAGCAAAGACACCATTGCTTTTTTTGCTGTACAAGAAAACATGGCTTTGATTAGGTGCTATTATTATTTTAAAGAACATGGAACAATCTTAAGTTTTTTCTATTCAAAACAGTCCTGTGGTCTTTGAGTTTTAATTAGCTGCCTGGCCCAGTGAAGTTGTCCTAGCTCCCTCCTTACTTCCCCCAACGTGGCTAGGCTGTCTCTATGTCAGGCTCAGCAGGATAGCTCTGGTGCTGAGCAAGGGGGGCAGGGATGGACTTGGATGTGCAGCAAGAAAAAAGATGCAGAGCTAGAACAGAATCTCATGCATATTTCCACAACATCTTTACAGAGATAGTTTGTGTGAGCTGAAGAGCTCATCTGTGCACTTTGGTAATAGCCTGGGGAGGTTGCAAGGATTTTTAACCTGGCAGAATTATTTATTGGACAGGAACCAGAGCTAGAAGAGGTAGAATTAAGAATCTCTTCGCAGTAGATGCATTATTTATTTATTATGTCTAAGCTTACCAGCTGCTTCTGAACAGCAAGGCAAGTTACTACATTTAATACGGGTGTTCAGTGCATGTGGTCTCAACGTTAGCTGGTCTTGCTTAGTTAACCTATGGCCCAGTTCTCGGTGTGTGGGCTGTGGTATTTTGTTGGGCTTTTGGTTTTTTGTTTTTTTTTTCTTTTTACTGTTGGTATCTTCTGAATACATAGAGCTTAGTGCTTTGTAAAGCTGAAATGGAGGTTTTTTTTAACAGCTATTAATATTCTTCACAGAGAAACAAGTCATGTGCTAGCTGTGGGTATTTATGATAAACACTAGGCTCTCTTGCTGTGACTATACTGTGTTAACACTTTAATATTAGACTTGGTATTCAAGATCACTCCAGTAAGCCATTTCAGTGAGTGTGTGACAAACTCCAAGGTAAAGCCAAGGGCATGATGGCATGTGACAGGATTGGGTCTACTGTTCATTTATTTGACTTGACTTGGCAGGTATGGTAACATGAGTGTCTCCCTAAGAGAGCCCTTGTCTGTGGTTGCTGTCTTTTGAAGAAATGACCCGTTCTTTCTGTCTTGATGCTTATAGAGTATGATGCCATCATACTCTAGTTTGTAGGAGGAATGTGCTTTTGAGGCAGTCCTCCTTGTGATCCCCATGTGCCACTCTTCTCATCACAGGGTGACCCTGGCACATGTGGTCTGGGCTCCTTTCGGATATCTGGCTAAGCCAGGAGATGCACTGCAGGAGCACAGCTGCCATGCTGCAGCTGCTAAGGAGTGTTCAGTCTGCAGCACCCTACTGGAGTTAGCCTAGCACAAAAAACAAACTGAGATGTGTAGAATGTGAATGCGAGAACTTCATACTTTTTCCTGTATGGGTATACCTCTGTTGCTGCAGAGTACTCACTAATGTGAACACAGCCTCTTGTTTGGAATGGGAATGTATCTCAAGCTGAAGTCTTCAGGAGATGGTATTTTCAAATTAAAACACCTTGTTTCAAATCCAATTCTGTAAAATGCAGTTTATAATAATAACTTAATTTTCCTTGCCTCTGTTACATACTTTCCAGACCTGAAGCTATTCATTGTCTTTCTGGGTTACATGTTCTCTTAAGCATGTTCTTACATTTTAAGCTTTCAATCATGTGTTTTTAATGACTCTATAACTTGCAGTAGCAGAGAAAGTGAGAGTATCCTTTTATTTCACGCTTTACCTGTATTTCCCAATACAAAATCTTTCCCTTTTGTCACCTGCTTTCTTTCCCTGTGTTCATGAGTTTTCTTCTTTTAAAAATTGATAATACTTGCAGTAGGATGAAGAAAGCTTTTTTTTTTTTTAAAGAAATTGCATGAATTGCTGGCTAATTGAAATACATAATCTGGATTTTTGAAACTTTTTCCCTTTCATTAGTGTTGACAAAATATACCCGTTCCTGTGTGCTAATGATTTTATCAGAGTGGCGGAGTTCCACGGGAGTGATAAGTTTGAACTACCTTATGGAATAAAGAGAGCAGGTTTGTGTTATCCATGTACCTTGTTTTTAAACAGAAATACCTAAATGGCTTGTAAAGCCACAGAATCTCAGGCTCTGGTCTTTCCTGTTCACCAATGCAAATCCTTTTGGGGGTATTTAGCAGTGACTCAACGGTTTCATATAGTCCCTCTGATCTGGCACCCTCCTGTTTTTAACAAATAAATCACCATGTTGGGGTTGCCCCTCTTAACAGAGAAGCTCCAAAAAGGTGGAGGTGAGGAAGAATGGAGCTTATTCAGCTTCTTTTCATTTGTGTGTGGACTGAAGTGCTAAAGATATTTAGCTAGCACCTTACTAGGCAAAGTATTAGCTGGGTAAATATGATGGGGTTTGATCAACCCACTTAAGCTGCTCAGGGTCAAGAGCCCTACTGAGGCAGAAGTCCCCAGGTTGGGGCAGTTGTATCATCATATTTTCCCTTTTACTGGACTAGCTTCTACCACCAGGGGAGGTGTCACTGTGGCTGCAAGGGGTATTCCTGCCATTGCACAGCTGCTGTGCCTGTGTGTACTTGCTCATGTCTGCTACCTGTGTTGTAAACATAGTAAACAGAGGCAGAGACCCTAAGGGGCTTAGTCATCCTTTTGGAAAGGGTTGTAAGTCTCAAATCCCGTAGTTTTTAATACTGAACTGTGTACCTTCCTAGTACTGTGCAGATCTGGGCTTTAGGCTCTGTTTGCCCTACCTCAGTATAAAGAGGATGATGTGTTTTTCTGCATCTCTGGGGCTGCAGTGAGAAAAAGTATGTTTGGGAACAAGCTGAAGCCCCTTCTCAGTTTGAGGCACATTGAGTGTCCAGCAGGTGCCTGCCCACCGTGAGAGAGCTGGGAAAGTGCCTCTCCCCAGCTTTGCCAGTGGGCACAGGCTGGATTGATGTCTTCTCCCAAGATACCTAATGCTCTTACTGTCTCTGGCTGTGCATCCCCTCTTGGCTGCTTCTGTTCCAGCTGAAGTTGGGTAGACAAAAAAACATAGTCAACTGGAATGCAGGACTTGGAAATTCTTCCAATTGTTTACTGTTAGAGTTTTATTTTTTATTTTTATTTTTTTTTATACAAATCCCCTGCTATTTTCCAACAGGGGAACGTTGGGAAAGAAAAAGCTTCCTGGAGAGGAGCTCTTACAAACCCAATTTTCTTTGGCATCATTGAGTGACCTGTGGCCCTAAATGACAAGTATTCTTATTTTGAGTTTTTTATGCACAGTGTGTAAAAACTGCTGTATCTGAAAATGCTGTAGTCAGGGTGGCAGGCTTATTTTTGTATCAAAAAGCATTGAACATTTTCATTAACCTTCTTCATATTTGCTTTCTAGAGCAATTCTTTCGTTTAGCCCTTTCAAGACTGCAGAACTGTGGACTTTTCAATGAAGATGACAGGTGAGATGGTTTATTTGATACTGTTTCTGTTAATTGCATTTTAAATATTAAATATCTGAAAAGTAATTAGTAATGTTATCCTGCAATTGCTCTAATTAGCCAAGATGCAGATCTGATTGCCACTGTCAAGCAGTATCTGATATCTGTAACTCATCCCAAGATTTAAGTAAGTTTGGTTTTATACATACATAGCACTAGCAGTCAAGAATAATTCTTCTGTGAGAGAACTTGAACTTACAGATTTCTTTTTATAAGTGTATTGGGAGTTTGCTAACAAATGCAGTTCCATCTTCCTGTAGTATCCTTCCATGCTGCAGGAAAGTGAAACCACCCCTGAAAAGTTCAATGTGATGTCCTTTTTCAGAATCATTATTAGTGTAAGCTAGATAATTTTTGAGATAAGCATATGCAGACCAGTGACCGTTTCTAAGCAAAAGAAATCTTATGCATAGCCCTATTCCGCTGCATTTGCTGGCGTGCTGCATGCCCTTGTTTGTATGTGTGCTCAGCTTCCTTTTCCTGTGAATAAGGGAGACCTAAGCAGCCAGGAAAGGCTCTTCTGGCCTTTTGGGAGTAACCAGGGTGTGGCATAGTTTGGAGCATGCCTTAGGTAACTCCCTTCCTATGTATATTGCACTGTTTAAATCTCTTGATTAGAATTTACTTCTGCCCATTTTTTTTGTTTAGTTTTGGAGGGTTTTGTGTGTGTGTGATTGTTGGGGTTTATTTTGGTTTGGGGTTTTGTTTTATTTTGCTGGAGGTAGTATACTAAAGTTGGAAAGTATAATGAAATCATGTGTTTACCAAGTGATGCAAATCACTTCTTAGGTTTGCAGTCTAGCAAACAGGCTGACAACCTGCCCTATGTCACATTAATGTGAGAATTCTTAATAGAGTTGAATGCGTATAATGCTGTGCTTGGCTGTATTTTGGGGATTTTTTTAAATCAAGGAGATCAAATGGAAGATTATTGCTTCAAGCCAAATGGTAGGATCACATTTTAATTAACTTGGGTGGAATATGAGCAAAATAATTGTTTTTAATACCCAGTTTTCCTTTTATATGCTTTTCTTTACCTACTGTAGTCCTTTCTTCCAGTGTGTTTAGTGTCTATTTCTAGGATGTTCAGGTTTACTCTTGGGGGTGGGGAAAGGGGAAAAAAACCCAGCATAAGACTGATGTGGACCTGTTAAAACACATCCAGAGGAGGGCCCTGAAGATCATCAGTGGGCTGAAGCACCTCTCCTATGAAGACAGAGAGACTTGGGCTTGTTCAGCTTGGAGAAGAGAAGGCTCAGGGGAGACCTTAGAGCAGCTTCCAGTAACTTATGAGGGCCTGCAAGAAATCTGGAGAAGGATTTCTTATGAGGGCATGTAGGGATTGGACAAGGGGTAATGGCTTTAAACTGAAAGAGGGGAGATTTAGTTAGATATTAGGAAGAACTCCTTTACTATGAGGGTGGTGAGACACTGGAACAGGTTGCCCAGAGAAGCAGAGATGCTGTGGCTGGCCCATCCATGGAAGTGTTCAAGGCGAGGTTGGACACAGGAGCTTGTAGCAACCTCGTCTAGTGAAAGGTGTCCCTGCCCGTGGCAGGGGGGTTGGAACTAGGTGATCTTTAAGGACCCTTCTAACCCAAACTGTTCTATCAGGAGTACAATAATTGGGGAAATCTATACAGAATTGGCTGATAAAGGCTACTATTTTTTTCTGGAGATTGAAAGAGAATGCCAAATGCTGTATTATAAATTTCCCGATATCACAAGTTCAACACTGTAATCATTTTGGCTGTTGTGATGCCTGCAGTACAGCATAGTACCTTTTAAATGGAAATGTTTGTCCTCAAAAGTAAGGTAATTGGTATAATGAATGTAGGTTCTCTGAGATATAGATATGTTTCATGGGTCATGAAGTATGCTTCATTTTAATAAAAGTAATATAGTTCAGTAGTACTGAAGCAAAATGAGAACTATTACTATTTAATAGGCAGTAGTATAAACAAAAATATGATGAATTCAATGATTTATTCTTTCTAGATCTATCAGGTTTTGTGCATAGCACTGTTAGGGCATGAACTGCAGTAGTAAGGAAGAGCTTTTATACATACACATTTATCTGAGATACAGTGACTTTTAGATGTGAAACACTTTGGGAATTAATCCTAACAACCTTCTCTGGTAATACAGAATTATTGGGCAACTCTGCAATGCTGCTGCCTAATTCAGCCTTCCTGGCAGAATGCGAAATGAATTTCCCTATGAGCATTTCCTGGGGGAACCTGCTGTGAAGTGTTTTAACAAATATTAGGTTATATGAGCACCTAATCTATGGTTTGCTGTATACATAGCTGTATTTCTGTGCAGCTTAGGTAAAACTATACATAGTGTGAGCTATAAAGGATTTCTTTCCAAACAGTGCCATTTTCCAAACTTAGGTGTTCTCACTGTGTAAAGATCTAGTTCTCTAAAACTCTCTGGAAGTGAACAGTGTCACTGACTTCAGTGGAATAGCCTGTAGGAAAAGGGTTTCCAGGCTAAGGGTATATCCACAAAGTAACCTCTGAACACTGACTCCTCTGCTTTCCTCAGGATTACTTGCTGGGCACTCTTAGGACTTCTGGTCAACAGCAGTGAACTCTTACAAATGCATTTACACAATTCTGAGTCAAGAAAATGTGACCTCTGCATCTTCCTTTTACCAAATAACCTCAGAGGCAATAATTTGCATTCCCCAACTGACTACGGGGGGTGTGTACTAAAGAAGCTGAGGTTGAGATCATCTTTTTCCTTTTTGAGAGAAACAGTATTTCAGTGGAATGTGCAAGATGCAAACCTGCTGACCCTTAAACATTTCCATTTAACATTTATTTTTTTCCATAGACTAGGAAAATATTTATTTTAGTATTTTACCACATAAACAATATATGTAAAGCAATGCCTGGCTTTCAGGTTAAGATGCTCTTTTGTATACTATGTGAATAGGGCAATAGTTCAATAGTTTGAGTGACTAATGGGATTGCATTCAGATGTTGGAGATGAGTTACCATGTGATTGCATCAGGGTCCATTTATACTCATAAGTAGATCTTGAACACCTAAATGCAATCCCTTAGCAATTGCTGTAGCTGAGGTTTTACTGTTTTTCACTTTCATCAGTATTGTGCTGGTGGTTGTAAGCTAGACCTCCAGACATGTCAGTCTGCTACATTTCACTTGTAGCACACCTGATGTTGTTTAAGGACATACGAATTTATTTCTCCTCTTGCCAATTTATTGATTTGGAGAAAGAGTGAGTGTTATTCACGCTTTAGGGTGAATGGAGTTTTTTTAATAAAAAAAAAAAGAAAAAGGAAACTGTGTAAGTAGGGTTGGTAAAGTATCTGGGAGTAACAGTCTGACAGTAAGTACAGGTCAGTTTATTTAACTTAAGTATCTTTGAATGCAGTCCAGCCTGACTACATATTCTTTATCTCAATTTAATATGTCAGTTTTCTGTGATATTATATTCAATTTTCTTATGCTAGCATAAACCATTTCCCTTCCTGCTTATCGTTGTCGGTGAAATCTGTGTTACTGTGGACCCAGACTTACGATTGTAACTGAGTACACTTGAATACAGAGAAAGGGGGCAAAGGAGAGAATACAGCTCAGCAATAGCGCATTTGTGCCAGACTTCCTGTTTGAGTTGGCCTATGTGGACTTCCTGAGCTTGACAGAGATTAAAAGCTGGTCTTTCTAATTTGTTTGACTGTATTTATGATTGTATTCATGTACAATTCATCAGGAATACTTGATCTGCTCGTTAACTTTATACACTTGAAAAGTTTGTGTACTGATGTTAGATGCTTTATGGGTTATCTGCAGGCAGCCAATAATTTTATTTTTGAGTGTTGTGTTATTAAGGGCACTGGACTTTGAAAGCATAATCAAACTTCAAATTCTGAATCAAATTCGATTTCCCATCCAAGCAGTACTAGTCAGCTGAGGTGGGTTGACCTTGGCTGGATGCTAAATGCTCACCAAAGCCACTACCACAAGGTAAGGACAGTGGGAGATCACTCACCAATCACATCACTGGCAAAACAGACTAAATTTTGGGGAAAAAAGTGTATCATTTATTACCAATCAAGTCTGAATAAGATAATGACAGATAAAACCAAATATTGAAACACCTTACACACATCCCTTCTTCCTGGGCTTAACTCATGAATTCTCTACCTCCCCAACCCCAGCAGCAGCAGCAAGGGGACAGGGAATGGGGGCTGCTGTCAGTACATCACACGTTATCTCTGCTGCTCCTTCCTCCTCAGGGGAGGACTCCTCACACTCTTCCCCGGCTCCAGCACAGGGTCCCTCCCACAGGAGACAGTTCTGCATGAACTTCTCCAACACGAGTCCTTCCCACGGGCTGCAGTTCTTCACGAACTGCTTCAGTGTGGGGTCAGTCCTTCAAGAGCAGACTGATCCAGTGTGGATCCCTTTGGGGTCACCAGTCCTGCCAGCAAACCTGCTCTGGTGTGGGCTCCTCTCTCCACAGGTCCAGTGCCTTACCCTCCTCACAGTAAAGAACTTCTTCCTTACATCTAACCTGAGCTTGCTTCCTTACATCTAACCTTGTTCTAAGTTTAAACCCATTACCTCTTGTCCTATTGCCACAGTCCTTGATGAAGAGTCCCTTTCTGGCATCTGAACATTAATGTAACAGGTTTTCACCGCTCTGATTTCCAAGGTACTGAGTCACATAGACTTGTGGTATTAGCTGGAAATCTTTTTATGAATGTTTGGCTTCTGCTAAGCTGCAGAAACACTAGAGACAGGTGTGCCAGGTTTTTCCATGTCACCCCACCCTAAGAGCTGTGTTTAGCAGCACTATTTAAATATGTATTTACATGTATATATAAATTTTTAGAGGCAACTCCCTCTGCTGATGTGGCTCTGGAGCAGCAGGTGAGAAGGTGCCATCCCAGCATTTCTTTTGAAATGCAGTGCCTTTTATCTCTGGCATTTATTCACATTTCACCTTTCCTGTAAGCTTCAGGTTTTCAGCATTACTATGAGGCTCAGTTTTCCCATAGCCTACATGCAGTACAGCGTAACTGCATTAACTCTGTAGGAGACACAGGGAACTGCTTTGTACATTGAGGTGTTGGTCAGTCTTGGCTGGAACAAGCTATTTTCACTGATGTTGAACAATACTCTCAGCTGAAAAAACAAGTTGTACTGTCTGAGGAGGAACATATTAATTAGTCTTCATAAAGTGACACACTGGGCATTTAATACAGATTATAGTATTTGGGGGATAGTTGTGGGGTGCCCTATGGTAAGAAAAGATCCTTTTGCTTGCTTGAAGAACTGTGGGAGTGGGATGTTGGGAGATAGCTCATTCCCAGTAAGCTGTGAGCCTGTTTTGTGTCTGAAGAAAGTACCAAATTTTTCATTTTGCCATTGTTCCTGCTGCAGCCAAAATGCTCTAAATGAAGAAGCAGTTTTAGAACGAAAAATGATGTCCTTGTCCTGTAAGAAGGAGTTTGCAGTCTAATACATTTGATGTAAACCTTCCTGAAAGAGGCGTAATCTCTGGAGTAAAAAACCAGCAAGCCTGTCTGTGCATTTTCTCTTTATTTTAAGCAAAGCACACATTTTACTAGCATTAAAATAAGACAGTAGGGAGTGAAAAATACACTTAGAAAATGAGGGAGAACTTAGGGAGTCTTACCTTTAGAATCTATTTTTGTAAGTTTATGCTTTTCATAATAGCTTTTTGGGGTGCTTTTGAACTCTACACTCTAAATTTGAAAGGAATAGCTATTCTGGTTGCATGTAGTGTAAGATCTAACTTGAAGCTCATGGTGTTTTATGTACTTAATGTGTCTAATTTGAATCTAGTCGTATGAGAATGCAACTTTTAATTAAGTATATCCTTCTTAAGTCATGACAGCATGCACTTAGTACATGCTTAGGCAGCACTTTCAAGTAGAGGGAGAAAAATCAGTATTTGAATGGCTATCATGTGTGTCATTGGGCTAAAGTTTTCCACATGTACAATTCAGAGGCATGGAAGGTAAATTGTGAACATAAATCTTACTGCTTTAGCTTGTGTTAGAGATCTTTAGACTTGTGATGTTGTCAGTATTGCAGAAGCACATTAATTTGAGCTGTTTTTTTCAGACATACTCTGTCCTGGTTGGTATACCTTCAGACTGGGACAAGTTTGAAGCACTGTGGAAGATAATTTATCTAACGGCCATTACCCGTATCACCAACTGGGTTAGATATCTTAAACAGCAAACCACTAGAAGAAGAACATGTATAAAACTGGTTTTACTTCAGAGAAGCCAATTCCCAAGTTTGGCAGTTCCTGAAATAATGCAACTGCATTTATTTTTTTGAAAGCCGCCTTAGTATATGATAAAGGATAGAGAGTACTCTGTAAAGGCCAAGGAGTGTAAAAGATACAGGATTTCCACTAGTAAAAAAGCCAGCTAAATGCAAATATCTCATGAAAAGCAACATGAAGCAAAGGAAGTCATGCATATTAAAAGCTCTGTTTGTTCCACAGCATTGCCTGTCACCGCTGTGTTGTGGTCGGTAATGGAGGAGTACTTCGAAATAAGACATTAGGGGAGAAAATTGACTCATATGACGTGATAATCAGGTAAATGGTATCTCCTTTTCATTTTGTGTGCATGCAAAGAATTAACAAACTTTTGCTTTAGAGTTCAGTTACTATATAAGTGCAAATGTATAAACCTTACTGATTTATTTGTCCTGTCACAGCCTTCATTTAAAAAAAATTAGGAAAAAATGGATCAGTGTTTTATTACCCAAGTTGACTGATACAGGGGAGGAGAGATCACTGGGTGGTAGGTCTGACTCATGTACAGAAATACAGAGGTATCCCTGATGCTGCCATGAGGGATAGGTCCAAGCACTTGGCCCTCACTGTAAGCAGCATCCTGGTCAGCCCTGCCTCTGACCTTCCATATCACACGTCTTACCCCTGTGCTGGTTTGTGCATTGCTTGGCGTGAATTAAACGTTTGTGCATGGAGGATGATGTTGATGTCTGCCCATTTTTCTCAAGCATGTTAGTTCACATTAGAAGTTTATAAGATGCTTTGACAGACCAGAGGATGCTGTGCTCTGAAGAAGACTGGGTTAGGCTAGGGAAACTGGGGAACTGCTTAGAGAGGAACAGGCGAGAAAAGGGCAGGAAAAAAGGTCAAATGCCAAGCAAACTGAAAATGCAGTATTTGGCTAATTATAACAATTTCCTGCACATTAAGAAAAAGAGAAATCAGTTTCTGCTTTGCAAGGACTGAGATTGTAACTGGTTAAACAGCCCTTTTGCCTTTAGTTGGTCAGGTAGTGTACCGAAGCCCTCTTTTGCTAAAATCTGAGCTGCCATTTCAGTTTGTCTGCTTCATGCTTCAACACTGTGTTCTTGTTTTTGTGGCTTTGCCATCAGTCCTAATGCTCATTTTCGTAGTCATGTTACACTCGTCAGGCATTACCATAAAAAATCTCTATACAAAGCCTGGGGTTTGACATGCATTTGAAAACACACTGATAAGGTGGAAATGAATACATGGAATTCTTCACTTGAAGCTCCTCTTATAAAGCTCAGACTCCAGGTAATGTCCCTCTTCTTAGGAAGCTTCACTTGCCTGCCAGCTTTGTGCTTCGCAAATAAAACCTGCCTTGCATTTATTTTCTCTGTAGTATGATGATGCATGGAAGCTCCAGAGATTATTTTAAAGCTATTTCAAGTATTTGGGCTCCTCAGTGGTCTGTCTGTTGACTACTGTTACACATTTAAAAACATATCTAAATTCAAAACTGCTTCAGAAATACAGTACTCATTTACTTACTGTGAAGGAACAAAGAGGTCATGTTTGCATTCTGTATTTCATGATGACTTCTGATAAAACTTTGAAATACTCCCTTGTCTGCATACCTTGTTTTACAAACATTTGTTTCTAAGCAGCATGCCTCTAATGCTGAGAAGTCAGTCACATTGGCAAGGGACTACTTGGATTCTCCAAAGAATACTCAACACACCTACCAAGCAGAAACTGCAAGGCGGAGGCTTAAATGGAGCCGCTCTGACCCACCTGCTCACTGCTTATTAATCTGCTGTATCCCAAAGCAGTGGCAGCTGTGCAAGTAATATTTAAAAAAGAAAAAAAACAACAGAGACCTAACACCCCAAACCCCTCAAGCAAACAAAAAAGGCAGACATAAAGCTGTGTCAGCATCAGGTATGCAGTCATAATCCCTGTTCTTGTATGCTGAGGATAGTGAAGAATATTAAAACATTCTTCAGTTGCCTCCTGTATGACTCGGATCATCTAGTAGTGTGAATGGAGTAATTGGTAATTCTCCAAGCCAGATGCTCTCTTTGGTCTTCTCTAGTTTCTGTGTTTGAGCCAAATCAGAAGGCTGTCTGCTCAAGTGACACGTGATAAGCAATTGTGTGATTGTGTTCTAAACAATCTTGGCCAAGTTCCCATACGTGCTTGATCCCTCTGAGTTAGAGGGTGAGTGTACCTGATAATTGCTCATCTACCATGTAATGTAATAACGAAATGCTGGCCAATAAACCCTCCTGTACCGGGACATACTGTCTTTCTGACAGACTAACGTGTGCGCCAGACAGTGCACAGTAAGGTTTGTGGGTAGGGTGGTCATTGCCATCTCTCTGCCTGTCCTTTGCAGAATGAATAATGGCCCTGTTATAGGGTATGAAGATGACGTTGGGAGGAGGACGACTTTCCGCCTTTCTTACCCGGAATCCATCTTCTCAGATCCGATCCACTACGACCCTAATACGACTGTTGTTCTCATTGTCTTCAAACCACGTGACTTGAAGTGGCTTTGGGAGATACTGGGTGGTCAGAAAGTAGTGAGTTTAATTATTACAGTATCACAGTATCACAGTATGTTAGAGATTGGAAGGGACCTCAAAAGATCATCTAGTCCAATCCCCCTGCCGGAGCAGGAACACCTAGATAAGGTTACACAGGAACGTGTCCAGGTGGGCTTTGAATGTCTCCAAAGAAGGAGATTCCACAACCTCCCTGGGCAGCCTGTTCCAGTGTTCCATCACCCTCACTGAGAAGAAGTTTCTTCTCAGGTTTAAGTGGAACCTCTTGTGTTCCAATTTATACCCATTTCCCCTTGTCCTTTCATTGTTTGCCACTGAGAAGAGCCTGGCTCCATCCTCGTGACACTCCCCCTTTATATATTTATATACACTAATAAGGTCACCCCTCAATCTCCTCTTCTCCAAACTATAGAGACCCAGCTCCCTCAGCCTCTCCTCATAAGGGAGATGCTCCACTCCCTTAATCATCTTAGTTGCCCTGCGCTGGACTCTCTCCAGCAGGTCCCTGTCCTTCTTAAACTGAGGGGCCCAGAACTGGACACAATATTCCAGATGAGGTCTCACCAGGGCTGAGTAGAGGGGAAGGAGAACCTCTCTCGACCTACTAACCACCCCCCTTCTAATACAGCCCAGGATGCCATTGGCCTTCTTGGCCACAAGGGCACAGTGTCGGCTCATGGTCATCCTGTCGTCCACCAGGACCCCCAGGTCCCTCTCCCCTACACTGCTCTCTAACAGGTCGTTATTCATGCACTTTGCTTCAGCGTGCCACACACCTCTCATTTAAAATACCTGTTTTGCTTTGAACTTTAGTCCTCCTAGCTGGGGGGAGCACTGGATCTCCTAGTTGGTCTACTCAGTTATCCGTTTCCCATAAATGTTTCTGGCCTCTTTCTCACAACACGTATTTCAATCATAGATTGGTTTGTGTTGGAAGGGACCTTAAGGATCATCCAGTTCCAACCCCCCTGTCATGGGCAGGGACACCTTCCACTAGAGACCAGGTTGCTCCAAGCCTGTCCAGCCTGACCTTGAACAATATAGCTGATCAGCATACTTGATCAGAACAATATAGTTGAACAAATATTTAATCAGTTCCTCATTCAACAGCACTTTTCCTCTTTGAGATAACTTTTTATCCTCTTCCTAGCACTGTTTCATATTCTGGCATGCCATGTTCCAGCCATTTCCCAGATTATTTTATCCTGCACACTTGGTGGAATTGCAGAATAATGTTGGAAGGGACCTCTCTTTGGAGGTCTTTAGTGCAAAACCTTGTTGAAAGAAAGGAAGGCCAAGTTCAAAGCCATGCCAGGCTCTCAGGGCATGCTCCAGGTAAATTTTGAGTATTTCCAAGGATATTTCTGCAACCTCTGTTTCAGTGGTGCAGTGCCTTCACATGAAAGAATTTCTCGTCTTTTCACTGTGTGCATCTGAAAAGAGTCTGATGCTCTTTTTGTAAACCCTGACCAAATAGTTAAGATGGGCTGAACAAACACAGCTTTCTCAGACCCTGTTGTTTTCCCTGCTCTCTGGCCCCTTGGCCATTTTAGTGGCCTTCTGCTGAGCTTGCCTATGTTTGACACTTGCACAAAAGGGGAGAACCCAAAACAGCATTTGTGAGATCTCGGAAAAGCACAATGCAAAGTGCTTGAAAATGATAACATCTGTCTACATATCCTTATGCTCTTACTAATGTGGCCAAGCACACAATGAGCATTTACTGCCTCCAGGGCATACAGCTGGTCCATCAGGGACCTCTCTGCAAAGCTGTTTTCCAGGCAGCTGGCCCCAGTCTCTGGTGCTGCAGTGGGTTATCCTATTGCAGGAGTACAATTTGAACGTCTTTGCTGAACTTTGGGAGGTTCAGCACTCCTTCTTCAGCCTCCTGCCCTTGGATTTTATTCTGGTTAGAGTTGCTAAAAAACCAAAATCAACCAGTTATAGCTGTTGAAAATGGGTATTTGCTTACCTGTTACAGAGTGCTAAAGGCTTTTGGAAGAAACCGGCTCTGAACATGATATACAAATCTAGTCAAATCAGGATTCTTGATCCCAGCATCACCAGAAAAACAGCTTATGAATGGCTTCGTTTCCCAACAAGGTTTCCCAAGAAGGAGGTAGGGTTTTTAATTCTGTGCCTTTCAGTTTCGTGCAACCAAATGTATACTCAGAGGTAATTTTCTCTTTATTATAGTGGACTATGTTAGAACATCTTTTAGGTTCACATTGCAGTAGTTTGCATTTAGAATGGTGCTTAGAAAAGATGGAAAAATGGAATCCAGAAAGACTGGGTAGCCTTGTACACCCATTCTGTAATTGGTATTAAATGAGACTGCTTTTGCAGACAGACATAATGCCTTTTACATAATTGGGAAAACTAGACAGGTATTGGAACATGGCAGATCTAGAGAGCCTCTAGAAATATTAAGGAGTCTTGAAATATTAAATGCAAGGTGTTACATGTTTGTTTTTCCTTAAAAACAAAACCAAAACAACAAAATTGAAAAAAAAAAAAACAAACCCAAACTGCACAAAACAGCACACAAACCCCCCCCAAATCCCAGCAGAAACAAAACACCATAAAAGCCCCACACCCAACTTATAGTAATTCTAACACTGCTGCAGTTTCCCACTGCTGGGGGTGTGTAAGGACTGGGAGCATACAGGATATTCCAGCCCTGCGCTAATGACATGTGTCTAGCAGCATTTGTGTGCTTACTGATTTGGTGCCAAGCATTGTAATGAGTTAACTGGCAATTTGCACACAAAAACTGTCAATTTATGCCTGAGGAGTGTTTCTGATGAAAGGTAAGGCTTCAAGCTGCAGACCTCTCTTAGCAGTCAGGACTGACCACATGCTGTGTAGCACAAATACGGTTCCCTGGGGTCACATCGTTGCACAGAGCTGCCTCATCAGGATCAGCACTGACATGTGCAGAAACATTTGACAGGCTGTCACTGTACAGTGTCTGCCACAACTTCTTCTGGTTTAAACTTTCTAATATTTGAGGGAGTTGAGGGTCTTTTGCTTTGGGGAGGTTTTGTGCCCTTTGTTTTTGTTTGTTTGTTCTTTTTGTGTGGGGTTTTTTTTGTTGGTTTTTTTTTTTTTTAAATCTTTGTAAAATTCTGGTTTTTTGAGCCTACCAGTGGCTTTTTCCTTCCCTTGTTAACGCTCAAAACTGGAATACCTTGTTTGACTGCGTGCTTGCTGGGGATCCATGGCATTTCAGCTCTTCAGCCAAGAGTGGGAAGAAAGCAGCATAGTAGTTGGGTGCCTGACTGTCTCTTAAAGTGCCATAGAACATTTATGGCCTCCATGGCTTCAGAAATTTCTCCTCTCTCAGTGGGAGTAAAAGTGAGACAGTACTGTTGCTGAGCTACTAATGTTTGTGGTGTCCTGGAGCTAGTATGGAGGCACAGGACCCTCAGTTGCTTGCATAGCATACATGCTGTTTGCTCTTCTCTAGCTCCCTGGGCACTCCTGCCCAGAGCTAGGTAGAGCACATCCATGCTTGGAGCCCCCTTCTGCTACCTCTACATTGCACTTGCTCTATCCCAGGCATTTGGTAGCAGCAGATGTCCCCAGTGACAGCAAATGGTCAAGATCAGGCATACTTTTTCTTCCATCTCGGGAGCTGGCTGTCGCAGGAACCTGCACATCTGTAGTTGCTCACTTAAGCTGCAGGTCGTGCCTCAGGGGTTCCCGTTGTCAGGGTGGACTTCTGCAGGACCCATTTAGGAGCTTTCTGTCCAGTAGCTTGTCCCTGGGGAGTGCTGGTGCTGCCTTTCCTGTCCTGCACTTCAGCTCCCTCTGCCTGCAGGAGATGTGGAAGATCACTACTGCTGTCTGCCTTTTGCATTAAGCCAACCTCATGTTCCCTGAGTGGCACTTACGCATAGTCCAGCAAGCATTTCTGTTTCTTTGTTAGGAGCTGTGGTGGTGTTAGCAGACCTGGGAGAACAACTGCAAAATCAGGTGTGCTGCTCCAGTAGAGTCAGAAAGTGTTGCAGAGTCATTCCAAGGCTGTGCTTATCCCCATTAAATATGAACAAGTTTAATTACAAGCCAAGGATATCTGGATATTGCTAGGACGCCAGCATGATAATACATTTTAATAGTGTTGCTTATTTTATTCTTTTGAGATGAACTTTATGATAGCTAAAGTTAAACAGCTAGTTGCAACCTGTGGAATTCCTGTTATTTCCAAATGGCACTAATCCTGACATGTCACATTCCTGCCATCATTTTTGAGTTTTGTTTAGTATGGACATTGCAACAGAGTCACCACTAAATTGATGGTATTGGGCCCTGAGGACAAAAGGTTATTTTGCTAACTGGCAGGAGCCCTAGACAGTAGTGTGCATTTTAAGTTGATGTTATTTCTGGAGTGCTCCAAGAGTTGTATAATGGTACCAAAAAATCTACATAAAAGTTGATAGTTCAGTTCTGTGACTTTAAATAGGCTTACAGAATTGATATTAGTAGCCTTTTCTTGGGGCTCTTTCATCTTACAATACAGAAAAATATTCTGTATCATCAAGTGCATCTGCCTTCTCTCTGTACAAAGCTGTCTCATGCTGGTTTGTCAGCTTTGTTTTCAGAAGCAAATTAACTGAACCTTGGGTAGGAGTTCAGAAAAGCACATGATTTTGCACTCAGTTTGAGATTTGATTGCAGATACTGAGAGTGTGCAGCTCATTTGGTCTCTGAGAAAATTGTTATTTTAGCAAAGGACATCAGTGCTTGAAAGTTTCATCCATTTCTGGGGATGCTTTCCCCCCCCCTCAGCTTTTGTTAGACCGGCATCCCCTTAGCATGTTGGTCTAATGAAAGAGTTCACCTCTGCAAGCCTTGCCTCATTTTTACTACCCCAGATCAAGTTAGCCACTGCTGCTGCTAAAACAGTCATGATATACTTGATTACAAGACAGCACAGATGGTTGCAATGAGTTGCTCCATGCTCTTGTAAGAAATGTTTATTTTCAGTTAGATGCTCATAATTTTCCACTTAAATCCTGTTTCTGAGCTGCTGTTGATATTTTAAATTGCATTTACTTCTGAGCTATCTCGCTGTAGGGAGAAATAAGCGATTTCATCTAAAGTTTCTTATTAATGGAGCTAGTGGGGGGAGGTCTAAAGCTGTGGTCTTCTGGAATTTTTTCTTTGAGAAAGTTCAAATGCAGTGAAATTTATGTAGCAGTAGCTTTCATGCTTTCTTAGGTTGGTGCCATGTCATGTTCTGTTCATCTGGATCTCCATTATCTAGAAACTTCTGAACACATATGCTAACCCTGTGAAATCTGATGGGGTGAAATGGTCTCCAGTACATTGAAGCTTGACCAGTTTCCTGCTCCAAGCTGCGCAGAGCAATGGGGAGACTTCTCTGATGCCTGCGTGAAGGGAAGGGCTACAGAATGGGCTCAGCCCTCACTAGAAACGGAGAATCCCAGGAAAGGCCAGTATGGCAACACCTCAGTCATGGAACACCTGCAGGCAGTACCTTACTCCTTAGGAGACACAAGTGGATCAAACTACAAACCCAACCATCTGTAGAAGAGCGAGGCTGTCTGATTTTTGCTGTCTTTATTCTTGCTGTTCCCATCAAGCTGCTGGTTATTTATGTATGTGTGCTTTTTGTGTTTCCTTTTAGAAACCCAAGCATCCAACAACGGGGCTAATTGCCATTACGCTGGCATTTCACATATGCCATGAAGTTCACCTGGCAGGCTTCAAGTATGACTTCACTGACAGAAACAGTTCTTTGCACTACTACGGCAATGACACAATGTCTCAAATGATGCAGGTAACAAACGATTGTTTATGTTAAGAGAAATACAGCTGGTAACAGGGGAAGTCAATTCAGTAGATAAAAGCGTGGACTCCAGGTCCACGGGCCTCCTGTTTGATGCTGGGTCAGCTGCTCATGGGTTATCACTGCTTGAATCTCTTAATCTCTACTTTTGTTTCTGAAAAATATGGATAATGGTATTTGTGTCCCTTGTGCTCCGCTGTATTCTGCAATGTCTGCATGAGATAAGACCATTTGTATGTTCTCTTTGCTTTGCGGTGTTATCCTTTGGCTACACAGCTCTTGTTCATAAAAGTGTATTAGCTAGCACTGTCAGAACATGAATAGTGTTGTTTCTATTTGCATTCTCTTTTTCCTTGGCACCTACTTGCACAATTTGTCACAGATGCCAAAATTCTTTAAAAAAAGAAATAAAAGCAAAGGGAAACTGAAGGAGTTAAGACCTACACACTTGCAGGTAGGAAAAGAACTGAATTTCAGAAATGGAAAGCAGAAAAGTTAAGCAGCTCTTAGAGGGAGGTAGGAAGAGGAGCTGCTTCCTGGAGGGGGAAGCCACAGCTCACTAGGAGAGGAGCAGCAGGAGGCTGGCAGACATCTGTGGTGCCTTCTCCTCCCTCCTGCTTTGCTATGGTCATGCCTCTGTTTCCTTTTATGTCTCTGCTCTTGTCTTCAGTTCTGCACTATGAGCAACTCCATCTCAGCCCTTTACCTCAATTTCACCAGTTTTCCATGTGGATATGGCTCAGTGTGTATGGGCGCCATTTTCTCTCATCCTCCCTTTCCTGGAGAGGAAGGACAGGGACAATGCTCGTAGGAGCCTCTTGTGTCTCTCTGGACTGCTGCTCTGACAGTGAACTTGCTTCATTTTGAGGCACTTTTTTGCAATGTGCACCAAGCTTGGCTAAGGTCGATCATTAGTTGAATAGACATCTATAAGCTTCCTCAGATCTTGAAACTTTAAAAAATAAATAACTAAACCAAAACCTGGTCATTAATTCTTTAGTGGAATTGAGTTGCAAATATTGTATGTGTACAATCTTTTATGCAGTATTTGTATTCATTTTAATTTACTGGATTCAGTGTCTGAGATTGTCAGTAAACTGACTTCCCTTGTGCTGTCCTCCCCCAGCCTCAGAGGTCTCTGTGTATCCAGGACCTGGGTACAACACAGAAGATGGGTTGGTTTTGGCTTGTTGAAGCTGATTGGCGGCATGCATCTGATTTCCAGATGCCTGATGTGTGCTTTTCGAGAACCTTCACTGAGCTTTGAGAATTAATCATTTTTTCACCACTTGTGTCATAAATGTGGTTATGCAGCTGTTCCCTCTCAGCACAGGGAGGAGTTGGGAGAGGTAGCAATGGAAGGTCTTCTCTGAGACCACATCTCACCCATTCTTGCCACTGAAGGATCTTCCTATTTGGTTTTTGTTCTAATGGAAAATCTAATGTAGTTTTGAACAAAAGTCCCTCACCTGTTTTCTTGGAAGACTATGCTGCAGCTTTGCTGAGAAGCCTTTTCCCCAGAGCTTTCCTACTCTTAGATCTTCCAAGTACCACAGGTAATTAAAAGGAAAGAACAACAGAGTGACGCTTCTGATAATAGTTTGAATTTAACTTTTTATTATTTCCTTTCATCTCTTTAGAATGAATACCACAACATCAATGCTGAACAGAAATTTTTGAAGAAGCTTATAGACAAGAACTTTGTGGTCAATTTGACGTGAGAGCTGAGTGGAACATATGAAGAGCAATCACTATTTTCAAGATTTAAAAAAAATATATTTTTTTGTATGACATTTTTATTTTTTAAGTGCAGCATAACTGTTTACTGTTTAAAAGACACACAGAAACCTCACTAAGGCAGAATCTTCTTCTAAACCCATGGGGTAAAAGACTCTATTGCAAACAGTTAACTGAATTTCTGTGAAGCTGTCTAATAATGGGGAAACCATGAAACTTTCATCTGAAGGTATCAGGGATATATAAAAATGTGATGCATATCACTTATTTATCAGCAAGAACTCTTTACAAACAGTTACTTCTCTGGAATACTTTTGTTTCTGATGTTGTCCTCCAAGAGTTACCGTGTCAAAACTAAAAAAAAAACCCACCAGTGTTTAATTAGTAGATGGATGTAAAGTCTTGAATGTCTCTCCTGTAGTATGAAAACGGCTGTAAAGCGATGCCTATAAGTCCTTACTGTGTGTCTGGGAGAAGGGGGAACACACAGAGTGTGCAGGTTTTGGTCTGCCCTACTCCTGAGGATGGGTCGTCCCTCTTCAGCAAAGAAGCCACAGATTTTGCACTGGCCATCATCTCTGAACAGCGGTCTGCCTTTGCCAAAGATGGAAACCCTTCAGCCCCATTCATGGACGTGTTCGTATCGACAGTGTTTGTGGTGTAACCAGTTTAGGGAAAATCATACTCCCCACCTTGAACATCCAGTAAATTTTGCAGTTTGTGACTTGGAAAAGAGGGCGTATGAAGACTGAAGAGTTGTCCTAACAGCTTCCCCAAGACTACAGTGGAAATGTGAGCTGGGATACAGATGTTCATGCCTGAGTTTAAATTTGGAGCCAATGCTTGTTGGATTCCTAGATCTCTAGGACAGGATCTTTTGTATTTCCTGTTTGCTTCCCAAGAATCAAGGTGTATTTTTCCAGGCTAGAACAGTCTCCTTTCTCAGATGCTGTAGTGTGCTTCCACCTTTGAAATGCATCAATTTGAGCAATGAATGTTTCTATTTTTTTAATAGAGTGTGCTTGGGAATACCAAGATGTGCCTCAGCTGAATTATCACTTGGCTTCTGTTTACCTGTCCTGTCTTGACATTTAGGTTTAAAGGATGTGGCTGAACTAAATCATTTAGTGGTTTTTAATTGAAACATGTGATAGGACGTTTGTTTCCTGTACTGGTTTGTCTCAGACAAGCCAGCTGAATGAGTCAAATCTGCCTGGAAATGCCCTTGACAGCTGTCAAAGCAGAACAAGCAATGCATTGTTCCAGTTCTCTCAAATGGTGTATTATTTTCTTCTAACTGTGTCAGATTTGCAGATCTTGTGTTTTCTTGATCAATCACACCTGAAGAAAGTACAATGAAGTCCAAAAAGAAAAAAGAAGTCTTTAAAGTTGGTAGAAAAACCTTTGCTGCTTTTTAATAAAATTATATAGAGAGTTTTTTAGTGCGTTTAGGAGCAGTCCAAACAATTAAGAGACGAATACAAGCCTCTAGCAGGTCGAGAGCACAGTATTTTTTTTTCCTAGAAGCTGAGGGTTGCGAGAGTACCAAATGCAATTTCTTTGCTGCAGCAACCTAGAGAAATAAGCTCTGAAGTGACCAAAGAGTCATCTTTCTTTTTTCCTGTTTCTCTTGTAGAGTGATACATAGGTGTTTAAATAGGTATTTAAAACCCTCGTGTTCCTGTAGTTGTCATGTGCACTTCAGCTCCTTGGCTCTGCTGTTTGGGAATCAGTGAGGGCTGCGTGATTTGAGGGGTAGCTACAGCCAAAGAGGAGGAGGTTTGTGCTTTCACCTAATGACTCCTGAGCTTTGGTCCCTTTCATGCAAAAGGAACATATCTGAAATAACTGAGTGTTATAAGAATCTGTGTTAAGGGTTGGGGAAGACCCAGATGTCTCCCCAACAAGAGTCAGGCTGTGCCATGGTGTCCTGCGATCTGGATGTGTGCCCTTTGGGCCCAGCTGCTGCAGGTGATGCTGCAGGGGGTGACCTCTTGTCCAGCTGTGCCCAGGGCAAGGGCATGGAGGGGAGAGGAAGATGGGCAGTGTGGGGCTGTGGTGCTGGAAATGGGGGAAACCAGAACTGGAAATGGAGGAAACCAGAATTTCTTCCCTATGTGACAGAAGGGTTCTAAGTTGTTGGGTTGTTTTTGGTTTTGTTTTGTTGTTTGTTTTTTTACATTCATTGTTCTGGGATTTGAGGAGATAGTTGGTTAAAAAAAATCTGAATTGAGACAAGTAGGGTTTTACATCCACAAAAAGTGATGCTATGCCTTTGCTTCCACCAGCATTTATTTCTCATGGCAATTTCAGTTCATTAAAAAGGTTTTTTGTCACTGCAGTGATTTGGACTTCTGACATAGTAATTCCGTGGGAAAGAAAATGCGTATGTAAGGCTTTTCACAGAGGCCGTGTCGTATGAGCTCTCTTTGTGTAGAAGTCCTTGGCAGATCTCAGACTGCTGAGAACAGAGCCAGGTAGAAGTGGAGGGCTGCTTCTTGCCCGTCAAGATGTGCCCCACCCCAGCTCTGGGATGGGCTGCAGCCATGGATCCAGCCACATCTACGTCTTTCTGTACGCTGACCATGAGGATTTTGTCCAAGAGAGCTGTAGAATTTGCTCTCTCCCCATAGTCCCTTATTCTTGTGATGGTGCTGCTGTTCCCCTCTGCTTCTGCAGCCCCTGTTCCCAGTAGCAGGAGGTGGGTAGGGAGCTCTGCTTTTGAGGATGTGCATATTTTCTATGCTGTACTGCCTCTCCAGAGAGATTCTTCCAATTAATGTAAACTTGATTCCTTCTAATTTTCCTAGGAGGCTTTCTGCTTTTCTTTTCTTAGGGGGAAGGGGGAGGGACACAGCTGGGTTTTGTTCTGTTATGATTAGAATCCAAGGAAAGTAATTGGAAAAAAGGCTTCATGGCAAACAAATGGTGTTCCCCAAACTTTTTACTTAGGCTCCTTTGCTCTTTTTCTACCATGTCAGCTTTTTTTTTTGGTCTCCCTAACAATTTTGTTGGGTTGGTTGGTTTGTTTGCTTGGGGCTTTTTAATAATGTTTTTGGATTCACAACACATTTAACATGCTGTCCACAAGCATTTATCCCTATCAGCTGCCCCTTTTTATTGTATTTCTTCTTAGTAAGCCTCCCCGTTTGTATGACTGACATTTTGGAAATTAAGCAATACTCCCAGGGATGTTTTCCCCCTACTCCTGTGCTTTTGCAGGGGTGTCAAGTCCGTGTATACCAAGGTTACTGTTCTGGGTGCCTGGGGAGCATTTACAGCCAAACTGTTCACTTGGGACCGAGACAAGAGCTGGTACTGTTGCCAAACCACTGGGCACTAGGGCTTTGGAAAGCACAGCTTGCAGGCCAGTAGCTTTTTCTTCAATACTAAGCAGCAACTCAAGTGATTAATTTTCCCTCCTGTAAGATGTTTCGGTAAGATTCTGTGTATTACAGCCCTGCTTCATCACATGGTCGTTTCTGCTACACTGCCTTGAGGGGGTTTTCCATCAGCTTCACTTGGGCAGGAATACCTGGGTGAGCGTTTCACAGATGATGGTGCCTGTTCTATCCAGCCATGTTTCCACAGGCACTTTGCAGAACCAAAGACTTGCCTTGGGATTTTTGGAAAAAGCAGTAATACTAACTCCAAAAACTTTGATCTTTTTTGAGAGTGAACTGCTATTAAGATTCTGTTTTTCTAGTTTTGTCATTCCTGAAAGTGAAATATCTGCACTGAAACTTCCCATTAACAGCTCCCCTTTGTTTTTAATCACATCGTCATCTGCCAAGCTGCCAAGTTTGAATGCCAAGGTGCTGCCAGCTCTGTTTCCATGAGTGGTAACAGTGTAACTAACTGCATGGGTACCCAGTACTTCCCGTCCATTTTCTTCCTGTATCAATTGCAAAGTCAGGTGCTCTCAGCCCATCTTCCTCTGTCCTGTTCTCCAGCAGCCTGCTGAGGTCTGAGACCGCAGCACCTTACAGCAGAGGTGCTCCTGCATTTTATCTGCCACCCTGCTGAAAACGCTGCACCGTAGTAAAGACCCAGCTCTAAGGTAGTGGAGTATGCAGGATGGCAGGTGTCAGCTGAAAGCTTGCTTCAGCTCAGACTTTCAGGGGTTTTTTTTGCTTTCTATCAGGAAAGTGTTTTTTTTTTTTTTTTCTTCTGCTGTAATAACTAAGGGAAATACTGAGAGCTGACTGAAAAAGGAAGGTTTCAGACTATTGCACTAAATATGAACCTGAGAGTGCCCTAAAGACATGATAAATGACATTTCCAGTGACTGTATTGGTGATAATAATACAGAACTTTGGTGTCTAATTATGAGTATTTGGTACCTTGTTTCCTAGGCTATACTTTCGTTTTTAACAATTCCCTGGGAGGTGGTAAAATTACTTTTAGATGGAGTCTGATCTTTAAGAACATAGGAAATCCCACATCTCTTCCTGGTATCGGTAAATACTTTAGTTACCATTTGTCTTAAGTTTTATATGCTTTTAAAGTGCCAGCTGTATTTTGAAGACATCCTTGCAGTCGTTTTGCGTGAAATTTTGAATGCTACAAATGGAAAGAGATTATTTTCCTGTGAATAAACTCTGTTAAAGACAGTGCCCTCAGGCTTATTTTTGCAAGGTCAGCATGCTCTGCATGCGCAGATGCGCAGGCATGCCCAGCCCCATTTTTAATGGTGTGTAAAGTACACACAGTGTTGTCAGATATGGGGTTGAGTTTCAGAACAAGCTTTGGTGCTTAGTAAAGCAAACAGAGCTGAAGATGTTTGAACTGAGGTCTGAGCTGTACTGCGGGTGGAGAGCTCGCTCCAGGCTGAGCAAAAGCAAGGCTGGGACATAGCTTTTTGTGGGTATGATCCAGAGCAGCATGCTCCTGATTTCAGTTTGCCTGTCTTATGGGGGACTTCCAGGGGATTGCTAAAATAAAAGATATTTAACTAGGAAGATGGTGTGTGGTGAAAAGACTTCAGATAGAAAGTGGGATTGTGATACTTCACTCATGCTTTCTTTTCTCTTTCTCTCTGTACGGTAAAACTGAGATGCTGGGGAGTAGGGAGCTGCTTAGCCAGCAGCTTCAGGGAGCCTTAAGGGAGGTTTAGAAAAGGATTACCTGACACAAGTAGGTACGAAATACCTTCATTTTGGTACTGACAGTTTAGGAGTTTGCCAGCCTGGAGGGAATGCCTGTCTGGAGTGAGACTGGGGGAGCCACACCATGGGTTATAATTTACACACTGAATAATAGAACTGTTTGGGTAGGATGGGATCTGAAAGATCACCCAATTCCAACCCCCTGCCATGGGCAGAGACACCTTCCCCTGAACCAGGTTGCTCAAAGCCCTGTCCAAGCTGGCCTTGAACACTGCCAGGGATGGGGCAGCCACAGCTTGTTTGCCAGTGTCTCACCACACTCATAGCGAAGAACAACATCTAGTTTCTCAGTGGAGCCACAGTTGAATAGTGATGTAGATCAGTGACAGCTATGCTGCTGCTTTCACACTAGGTTTATGCTGCAGGTAAAAAATGGGAATGAGGAGTAATGGGAAAAGCTGTTTCCAGATCCCAGGGAGAGCCAGGGTCATGGTGCGAGTCTCCCAGGCTGGGCTGCCAACCAGAGTTTTTGGGAGATCAGAAACCCTTAGCGATGTACCTCTATGCTGCCTGATTTCTTGGCTTCCTGCATGTTGAATGTTCCTTCTAATGCTTCTGCTGAATGAAAACAGGATTTTGTTTAATTTTTTAAGATATTTAATAAGATATTTTTTCAAATCAGTACAAAAATTTTAAATACAAAATTATTTGCTTTTGACATCTCTCATATTCTGAGAACACACTGAAGTCACCAATGCCTGGTAAACTGTCCAACTGTTCCTGCCACTGTTCCATAGAATTTGAGATAAAGCACCACATTATATCACTGGAGTCCTTAGTCAATGTTAGACTGCATTAAACTCTGCATTTAAATAATGGTAATGCCAGTTAAATCCAATCTTAGTTCTGCATGAAAAATCTAGTTCATTTTTGAATCAAAAGCGGTAGCATTAGCTAAAGTCATTGAAGAAGTGATGAGTATTGAACTCGCTCAGCTAGCATAACAGTGTGTGATGTGCAGCACCGCACAGGGAACCACAGCAAAGCACCCCGCCCTTTGGAAGCAAATACTTCGGAGGCGAGATTAGCACCATTGATGAGCAGACAGCTTTCACAGGGAAGTTGCTCTCCTCATGTACAGAAAAGATGGAGGCCTGCAGGTTCTCCT